GCGTGGTCAAGGGGCATACCCATAAAATTTCAGCCCCCTAGCTACCGTGGTTTCTGAGACAATGATTTTACCCGCCAAAAATTTCACGAGGCCGTACGTGTTACCAGCGGGTACATGAAGGCTGATTTTGAGTTTTCTGGGTTGCACGTGGTCAGGAGACATACCCTTAAAATTTCAGCCTCCCAGCTTCTACGGTCCCTAAGAAAAAAACTTTTACGGGGCCATACGTGTTACCCGCGGGTACGGGAAGGCTGGATTTAAATTTGTCGCGTCACCCGTTGGCGGGGAACACTATACTAAAATTCCAGCCGCCTAGCTTCTGTGGTTCCCGAGTTGAAAGTGCGGAACAAAATGTGGGACACACAAACACAGACAACCCCGTGACAAAATGCGTTTTGTAATGCTGTTACACAGCGCAGAATGCATAAAAACAATTCTGAAAAGTAACAAAAGCCCAAACCAGTATGTTCCAGCTCCCTGCGACGTAAGTTCGATTGAGTCACCATCATCTACAATTTTGCTTAAGCCAAAATCGGTGATTTTTATTGCACCGCTTGTGGTACCCGACTGCAGCAAGATATTGGCTGGTTTCAAATCGTAATGAATTATTGGGGGGCGCTTCTCCGCCAAATAACGCAAAGCCGATACAACCTGAAAGCGAAGACTGCCCATTATACACCAGCACAGGGAAGGGTTTCTCGGTCTGATCTTTCTGAAGCGTGATGTACGCGCGCAAACCTGCATAATGATAGAGCGTGCTTCCTTTTCCGGAATCTGCTTGTTCTGCTTCAAATAAAAGTCGAGATCATTGCCGTCACAGTACTCTAGCACGGTGCAGAACGAGTGATTGTCGATGGTGAACAAATCGAACAAGCGAACAATTCGTGGGTGGTCCAATGTCTTATGGATATCCTTCTCACGCATCGCGTGCTTCACATAATTTGCCTGCAAAAATAATTGTTGAAAAAAACAAATCAACTTCGATGCACAAAAATGACGAGGCTTCATGAAGTAAGCTTCAAATACCTACATACACTACAGCCAATGCTTCTAATTGGTAGGGTACAAGCACCGAGGGCCAGAAATGACAGCGTTCAGGAGCAAGTGGTGTGCTCAACAAACACCACTGAGTACCCGAAGCGTCACTGAATGTTTCGAGCATTTCTCTTTGGAAGGATTTTTCAACAAAGTGTCGTAAGAAAAACACAAAAAATAATATTACTGGCAAATCAATCCACAACTGGTGAAGCAGAAATGGATGTCAGTGTGAATATCAACTTAGCATTAACAAATGTAAAATGAATAAAAGATACAAACAAGAATACCTTTTTGTCCTCTTTCCATTCCTTATTTACATGATGGATTTTGCACGCCACGTACTTGTTCGCATCCAAATCAAAAGCGCGCCACACCTCGCTGCAAATTAGCCTTTTTATTCAAGACCAATACTGTTAAATTTATCTCATTACGAAACATTTTGAAAAGTTGGTGTAGCCTCCTGTTCCAAACAGCAAGAATTAGTGCTAACTTTGAGTAAAATGTATTTCACCGTTTTTTGTTATGCATTTTCCCTTATTTGCTTTAGCACTATTCCAACCGGCCGTCACTACTTCACGCCTGCCAGTCTTGCTTTCAACAAAAGTACGACTTTACTGTCTGCATTGTACTGGCACCTTTCAAGCCCTTCTTCGATAAAATCGCTGACAACAGCCGAGAGAAAAACCATCATTGCTTGATATCCGCAACCTACATCAGTCCGTTATTGGATCTGCTAAAAAAGCAGATTTTTTGTTTGTAAACTATGCTTGGTCACGTTACGCATACTGTGTTGCGTGGTACAGATTAGGTTCTGTTAAAGACAACACTGATTATATGTGCACCTCGAAGGCGTAAATGATAACTTCCCAAGGTAAAGCTAACTTCACGACCTATTAACTTTCAGCCACCAATAATTTCAGGCAATTTCAGCTACATCCTTCATTCTTTGCAAAAATACAACAAATTGAAGAAAACGCTGAGTTTTACGCGCCTCCTTGCTTCAACCGTATACCAAAACAGCCCACAAAATTGCTGTGCTGAATCTCAATCTGGGATGCTCAATAAGCCCTGTGCAAATATGCCAGGCCCTTTGATCTTCACTTGCATACTTCCCGTTAATATCTATCACCCATTAGGTTAAGCGCCATCTTCTTTAAAAGGTCACCTGACCCACCCAATCATATTATTATTTATTCATCAAATGGCTACATTCCATGAAGTTTAAAAGAAGGAATAACCTGAAGCCGCCTTTGCCGAGAAGCGAAAGCAGCAAGTAGCG